ATAAGTTGGGTTGGGGAAATTTGTACTTTGCATGTATTCTCATGCATGTAATAGTTCTTTATGATTTAATAAATAAACGACATCAACCTGATTGTGGGATTAAAAAAAAAATTAAGTATAATTTATATTTGGTATCAATATTGTTTAAAATTTTTTTAATATTAGTTATTTATAGTATCAATAGACAAGCTAGTATTTAATTTGTTATATACTTTATACTCAAAAAATATTAATTCTTTCTAAATATTGTAACATGGAAAAAGATAACGCACCTACACTAAATTCTGAGTTTCCCATGATATTAAGAAGAAAACAGTGGTATCAAATACAATAAGTATGATAGAAACTAGTGCAAACTTGAGAAGATAGAAACTGTTAGAAAGAAGTTGGATTATAATACAATCACAATGATTGTCACATGACTGGATCATGCAAGAATTGATTATGACATTATGGAATTGAACAATAGAATTATATAATAAGAGTAGTGTGAAAATCAAATAGCGATTACTTTGTCATAAGAATTTTTAATAGTTTTCCTTAATTTGTATTTATCATTTTTATTATATAATAAGTATGCAAGAATGTATAAAAGAAGGAAGAAATGAAATAAAAGAAGAATAATTAAGCCCAGTTAGTAAAGTTTTTTGGTCAATATCAATTTCACCTTATCAGAAATAAAATACTTACCATTATTATGTGAATCTGAACTTTCCTTAGTGACAGACTTGCCAATCACTGTTACAATATATATTTTGAAATATACAAATAAATAAAAAATTATAAAATAAAAAATCTTTTAATTTAATAATTTAATATATGTTAATATTATAAATGGTAAATTAATTGAAATAATTTAAATTTTATTAGTTAATCCTAAACTTTTGACTAAAAAATATAGTTGGTTTTTGAAAAAATTTTAAATTTATAATTTATAATTAATTCTGTTTTTTTTTTATTGAATTTTATTGAATTGAAAATAAAATAAATAAAAGATATTAATTATAATTTGTAAAATTTAATAAATGAATTAATAAAAATTATATTATTTATATATATTAAAATTTTTAATTTTAAATATGTTTTTTAATAACAGACCTGTAGATCTATAGCACAGTGGTTAGTGCTCCACAGATCAGATCTCAAGATAATAGTTTGAATCCTCCAGGGGACTAATGTGGATCCTCAAACCAGGAGGCAGAAGATCGGCATCTTCTAATCACTGTCACAAGATACCAAGTTCAGTTTCAGATGAAGGTAACTGGACCATCTCAAGATAATATCTGGTGCCATAACCTAACATGTGTTGTTTTCTATAAGAAGCCAATTCACACGTTGATTTAACGGATGTTAGGATTGTGATACCAAGAAAGGTATAGCAGTGTAATAATCGACCGGCAGTATTATGATAACCATTGTCAAGTTTGGTGCTTTCCCTGATACTCATGCATGGAGCATGCTTCCTTATTTCTATAGTCCACGAGACTATAAAAGAAAACCCCAATTTTTCAAGAGACCTAGCTAGAGCCATAAAGACTCCTTGTTGGATATGGCTAGTCCGTGGCTGATTGTTCTAGGATATGATTCTTTGAGTTTCTATTCATCGAATGGTGGGTGGGACTGGAAGGTGCACATCCTAACACATTAGCACTCTACCTATGCTATTAGAACCTTGGTACTGATAATATAGGAAGAATGGAGGACAATAAGCCGACCAATAGTTAGGAATAATCTTAGCTTAGATAGCTTTATCAGGTAGACAGTGGGAAATTTGTATAAAACAGATTTGTATATGCTAATCCTATAAATCTTAATAAAGCAAGGTGTATGCCAGTCATCGAAAAAAAAAATGTTTTTTAATAACTTTACTAATTATAAAATCATAAAAAATTGTTTAAAAAAATAATACCAGGAATTATTTTGATTTATATTATTGTTAATAGTTAAAAACTTTGTTAATTTGTAATAAATAATAATTCTAAATTTTCTATTATATAATAAGTTCAATATTAGTTATTTTTTTCATGACTTTTTTTAATTTTATTTATAATTTAATAAATAACTTTAAAATTTAATATAAAAATATACAAATTTATTTTTTAATATTTTATTATTTTTATAAAAAATTTGTTTTTTCATAAAATCAAATAAAAATATTTTTACAAATTTTTATTTAATTACTTTATTAAATTAATTAATTAAATTGACAATAATAAATGTTCAAAAAATTTTTTGTATTAAAAATGTCTATTTTATTTGAAATATTTAAAAAATTGCGAATTTTTATTTTCCTTTTGTTTATAAGCTTTTTTATTACAAATCAAAAACCTAACTTTATTTCTAAATATTAAATTCTAACTAGTTTCTTTTATTAAATCCTAAATTGTAAATTTCGATTTTCAAAATATATGCCAAAATCTGTTTCACTTTCTTGCATATATCAGATACATGATATAATCAATCATTAATGCTATATGTATAAAACAATAACTAACTCATTAAAATACTCTCTCGGGAAACTTTAATAAATGGCGGACTGTCACTGCTTCGATCAAAGCACAGAACTATTTATTTCATTCATTAATTTCTTCTGTTTTTCTATTTCATCCTACAAAAAAAAGATATTACTATATAATACTTTTGAGAATGTTCGTAATCATGTATTCTATATACTTACATAAAAGATTGTCATCATTCAGAGAATACTCTTATATTGACGCCGACCGGAAAAACCAAAAGGAATAGAGGCAACAATAAGTTCTGTTGAAAGGTACCGGGTAACATGTTTAGAGAATAAAGAGCCATTCTAATGATTAATAAAGCAAAAATTGAAAAATAATATCATGGAAATCATGTAGATAACTTACCTATTACCTGGATGCAAAATATTTTAGTTTTAGTTGCAAGCTTAATATCACAATTAAGATGCTCTCGCAACACATTAACCAGATCGAATACATCCATTTAAAGAATTTTTGTCGCATCACCTATAGTGTGTACGTTTGTTGTATTTGATAGTCCCCCAGATACCTCCATGTGCCATATATCCAAACGGTTAGAGTATCAACTTACTTTGGAATCTACTTTAACGATACCCGAGTTTGTCCCAGATTTCGTTATTTCCGCAGAACGCGCATAACACTCAATCCAATTAAAGTTAAGGTATGGAAAAGTTGATTCATATTATTTATAGTTTGAAAAAATTCATATACATTCACTCATATTTCTGTTCACCAAAGGACCTCGATCACTAAAAATAACTAAAAAATAAATAGACGTCAGATTTTTATTTTAACCAACATTATCAGATACCGACATCTACTTACAAGTCAAGAAGTACCTTCTTACAGTATAGATGAAAGGATTCATCTGGAATTTTTGAACCGCAATTTCATATTGATTTCCATTATTATTAAGGACGTTATCAATATACTTTTCTAAATCTGATGTCCACACTTCAGGATTGGTATCACGTATAGAGAATAGTTCGTTTGCAAGTTCCCCACCAACTTCTACACTTAACTCCGAAGGAGTCATATTAAACGCACACATTACGGATATATCATTAGTGTACCTGAAGTAGTAAGGCAAGAACTATTAGAATGCCTCTCATTTATTAAGCAATATATAGCAAAAGGAAATGAAAGACTTACTGTTGAATTTCCTTATTATTTAACGGACGCTTATTAGATGTTATTTTTAATGAGGATAAATCCCGAGTATATGGCGGGGTTCTAGGTACGGGTTGTGGTGATCTTTTTTGTTAATGTATAATTAACACGTTTCTTTACCCAAAGAGATTTGCGAAGTCCCTAGGAAAGTCAGAAAACAATATATTCAGAAATCTTTTTAGCTACACAACTAAGTATTCTGTTTGGTCGATGAAGAGATACCTCGCGAGATATTTTTTCATTCCAAAGTTTTGCGACTCGGCTATCACTTTAAAGGGATATGTTTATTGGTAAATTAGAAGCCTTTAGACAACGGAACGAACTAGAAAATCTGCCAGTCAAAAAACTATTTATTTTACCTTTTCTTATTGAAAATCAGATTTATAGCCATTTCTTTTTTTTTTCGGTCATACTCGCCATTAGAAATCGCTTCAAGACTTTTTAATACTGGTCGACCTTCTGTTCAAACGGCTCCTCGTCACATTTACATAAAAAATCTCATGTTCCATTCATTGAGATCGCGTTGGAAATATTCGTGCACAGACATAACTAATTTTACGATGGTGTATCCCTATTTATTTTGGACGCGTTCTTAAACGTCATACTTACTATATCTGATACTATACGTTGTTACGCGTTATGACATCATCAAAATCTTCATCGGTTTCATTTCGCAACAAGTATAATAGATAAGTGAAACTAATTACAGTATGTAATGATTAAATTAAAATCATTACATAATTTATTTATATTATTACATATTTTCTCACCGGCAGGTTTTAGTTGCTATTTACGGTCGCAGAGGGGGTGTTCTTTATGCGTCACTCGTGCGGCACCCTTACGGCACTTGTGCGTCACCTGTGCAGGTGCGCTTACAATGATTTCGAGTGAAGTTTCCGTACTATAGTAATTTATATTGTGTAAGTAGATTTTCGATTTTTGTTTTCGAAAATTTGAAAGAAATAAAAATTGTAATTATTTTATTAAATAAAATTTTAAAATTTTTCTACTTCTCTTCGTTCTTTGTGAGGTAACATGCTACACAATGAATGTTTGTAAGCTAAGTACATGTATAATCACGTTAATATAATCAACATTTCTGATGTAATTAAACGTAATGCATATAGTTTGTTACATGCAACACGGAATTTGATCCTGAATTCAGAAGAGTTGACTAAGATCTAAAAACGATTGATTCTGCTTATAATTTGGTGTCTTAGATTTTAAGGATGATAGGAAGTTTATGTCAAGGTTAATATTTAATGAATATTTTCTTTTTATTTTGAGAATATAGTGAATAGGTGAATTGATCGCATCGGATTTCAACTCTGAAGTAGCTCAATTTGAATAACGCTGACATTATTTTCATTATTTTATTTCACGCCAAAGCTGGGCAGAAGTTAGCGCCTTAGTAATGTAAATAAACATCATATATTAAACACGTGATGTATTAGTCAGTATTAATGTAAGGGATTTCCATAATTCGGAAATTTCACTTGGAATCATTGTAAGCACACCTGTACAAGTGCCGTAAGGATGCCACACAAGTAGTGCATAAACTAAAAATTAATAGTTTAATATTTTCTTAAAAAAATATAAAAATGCAAGAATTGATCTAAATTTTGTATAAATCAAATGTTTTCAAGACAATTTTCTATAGAAAAAAATGCAAAGATTATTATTATTTTGTTAGAAAAAAATTATAATTTATATTAATTTATTGCTAAAATTGTTAATAATATTTATTATTATATTATATTTAAACTTAAAAAATATCTTGAAACAAATAAAATTAAAAAAATAAATCTATTTCTGATTATTTACTTAAACTTATTTATATAAAGAATATATTATTATTTAAATTTCAAAATACATATTAATATTAATACAATATAAAAAATTTTTAAAAAAAATAGATTAAAATATATAATAAAAAAATTTTTTTTAAATAAAAAATATAAAAAATTTTTTGAATTAAATTTATAAAAGTACATAAAAATTAAAATATAGCAATAACTAGTTTAATAAAACTAAATTTGATTTTTTAAAATTAAAAAATATAAATATTATTAAAAAAAATTCACAAAACTTTTAAAGATTTAATTTTTTTTTTTTTTTTTTTTTAAGGCGCAAGTGCAGTGACTGCTTTTTCTTTATTGATAAATTCCTTATACCAATTTTACAATTGCAGTTAAGGACTCATACAAGTCAATACATTATATACTCTATGCAGATTATCCCAATCCGGTGCAGAGTCTAATTGGTTTGAAAAATAATCAGTCGCAGATGAT